CTTCGCCACGGCAACCTTCTGTGATAAGGCAACCAGCTCCATATATACCAGTTGGATGGAATTGTACAAATTCCAAATCCTGACATGGTAAGCCTTGACGTGCCACCATGGCTGTTCCGTCGCCCGTACAAGTATGAGCCGACGTGCAAGAGAAAAAGGCACGACCGTAACCGCCGGTAGCTAAAACCGTGCTACGAGCGCGGAAACGATGTAAAGTGCCATCTTCAAGATTTAATGCGATCACTCCACGGCATTCGTTATTCTCGAACAACAAATCCAAGGCAAAATATTCCACAAAATAATTGCAATCGTAACTTAAAGATTGGCCGTATAATGTGTGAAGTAAAGAGTGACCAGTTCTGCAAATACATAAAATAATAAATCGCAACAGATAACCAGAATGAAAGCAACAAGAAAGTTATGTTCGGCTATAGCCTTATATACCCGACGCCTTTATTTTAGAAAATAATATTAATACAATTCTATAGGTTATTAACTAAGATTGAAGATAATCTTTGTACCAAAAACAACTCCGGCACAAGTATCCGGCAATATATCAAAAGTGGAATTAGAGTAACTCTAACGAAAGGTACAATGAAAAATTAAGCAGAAAGTAAACAATCAGAAAGATCGAATACAGAATTATGGAAAACCCTAACTGTGTTTGTGGGCATACCATATACAATAACAATAGTTTTGATACTAAGTCGTAATGAGCTCTATAACTCTCTCTATAACTTTATAGCGTTAACCAAAAATATTCCGGATGATCTTAAAGGTTTATATAATCGGGAAACGTCCGAATCTAAGGAAGTGGATTTTCTCATAAACATATTTTGGCGAACAAATACAAATAAGCTAACTTAAGCTCAAGGAAGTATGGAAGTTCAGAGTTTCAAATCTTTGATGACAATTACGGTATTTTGTCGCATTTGCGTTTATTAACGATGGGCCTAACACATTCCTTGACTGCTAATTCCTATTTTCCAATGATTTTCCCAAATTTGACGCCCATATCATCATTTCCTCGATCAGCATATTGTTTACCTCAGATAGACAGACAGACATGCCTAGATCGATTCAGAATTTAATATTCTCGTCCCGCCTAAGCTTCACTTTAGGTGCCGCGAACGTTTTGCAAAATGAATATATTCCCTCCCTTCCTCGGGCTGTGGGTGTATAAGCAAAGTTATATATTTATTCTATTGAATGCTATTGATTTTAATGGTGTACTTACCTATCGGCTACCGCACAACATCTGTGAGCTTGACCCCCTTTACCAAACTTCAAACTCTGACCACCGAAAGCCCGCTGATAAATTTTACCATCTGGAGTACGTGAAAATGGCATACCATAATTTTCCAGTTCTATGACTGCCTTAGGAGCTTCGCAGGTCATGTAGTGAATAGCATCCTGATCACCTAGCCAATCTGAGCCCTTCACCGTGTCATACATATGCCACCTCCAATCGTCTTCCTCCATATTACCAAGAGCTGCATTAATGCCACCCTGGGCGGCGACAGTGTGAGAGCGAGTCGGAAAAAGCTTTGTAATAACAGCAGTTTTGAAACCTTCCGCCACTAAACCGAAGGCGGCGCGCAAACCAGCTCCACCAGCGCCCACCACTACAGCATCGTAGGCATGGTCAACAATAGGATATTCTTTGGAAACAGCATCTGCCTTCACTGAAGCATCACTTTTACCATGCGTCACATGCCATTTTCGGGAAGGCACAACTGAGCTAGCCCGGAACTATGCAAACAAGATCGAAGAGTAAATTTATTTACAAATAATATGAGGGATGCGAAAAGTTCAATTTTTTAACATAATCATTGCAAACCGCAGTTAAAACTTTTATACTCATTGCCTTACAAAAAAACAGGTAATTAAGAGAATGATATTCGGCTATAGTCGAATATTTTATGCACACAAACCAATTCTTAAGGAAAAAGACGCAAAAAAATGAAATTTTTATAGTCTCTATTGAGCGGGCGGCAGCGATTTTATCCCTTTTTGTACACATACTATAGAATCATCGATACAAAATTCGTCGAAATTTTCACTGTTACGAGCCCAATTTTTTTGCTTTCGAAAACAAAGGTATTCTCAATTCATATTGCACTATGTCTTGCACTTCATCCATTTCCAACGCCAACCTGCATCCACTAACTTCCAATGTTACTACCAAATTTTAAACTGTTACCTTCATCTTCGCGATGTTCAGGGGAATGTTCACCAAAGACGCTACGCATCCAGGCGGACAAACAATCGATTCAGAATTTAATATTGATCGAGAATATATAAAATTAGTGGGATCTCTGAAGCTTCCCTCTGGGAAAGAAGCATGTACCCCGTACAAAAAGTTACACTTGATTTGAACCGCATTTTGAAAAACCGCAAAAAGAATATGTCCATATCGGACGGTGGCATCTTTATGCGAGACCTGAAGATAATTGTATTGATCGAATTCCAGTTGGTAGACTGCAATAGATTGAAAGTACTTGATAAAAATTCTTTACCCTAAAATCCCTTGCCAACACTTTCTTTTTCACATGCATACACCGCTCTGCTTTCTCATAACTTATATTGTGGGCTTTGCTTGTTTACGAATCCCACCACAAGGATGGATTCCCTAATCTAAGATCACTTGTCTTCCTATTTCAATTTCCGCCAATAGATGAATTATATGGGCTAAAGCAATTCCGGTTTTTTCTACGTTGCTCATGAAATAAAAAAACTAATATATCTTCGCTTGGCGAATGAGTAAGCTTATATTGATTGATGTGTTCGTGTCACTAAGTGGTGTACTTCAATTAGTTACTCAATTTGAAACGTAACGATAGCAAAATGAG